ACGGCTGCATTACTTGTGCGCTTGGAGCATCCTAGGATGATTTCCGCTGCTTTCGTCTGCGCCGCCTCGACTTCTTTCATTACCTTCTTATTCCCTTCCCGTACTTCTCCGGCGTACTGTAGCGGCGGTACGATTACGCTCTTCAAAACCGTCAATTTGATGCGTGTATCGAGGTGCCGGTTTGTGACTATTGGGTGCAGCTTCCCTGCTCGTGCTTTGCCCTTTTCCGCTACCTTGGACATGTGTGCATTCCGCGAGCAGTCATTTGCGATCTCTAGTCCGAGGTGTGTGTACTGGTCCACTGCTGCATACTCCTCGATCCCCCACTTCCATCTATATTCAGCTGGTTCCTCCTTGTTCTCGTTGCATACCATGACGGCACTCTTCTTAACGTTGGCAGACAATCTCCACTTATCAGTAAACTTCTTCGCCGCGTCAATTTGCAGTTGCAGTCCCTGACGGGTGTCCGACATAGTCTACCGACAAAATCATCCGCAAACAGCATTCCTGAAGCCGACGTTTCCGTGTCCCCTACTTTTACTCCCTTCCGGACTGCCTCTACGACTTCCAACAGATCGTTGATGAACACCTGGAACAATGTTGGGGACAGCGTGCAACCTTGTGGGACCCCCTGCTCAATGTCGAAGAATTTTGACAGTTCTCCGTCTAGCATGACCGCGCTTTTCGTGCACTCTGTCATCTTCTTCAGCACTCTCCACATTTTCCCCTTGATCCCGTATTTGGACAGTTGTTTCCACAACCCATTTCTCCATACGGTGTCGTATGCCTTTTTCACGTCCAGGAAGAAGCAGTACGTCGGCTTTCCCGCCCTCTTTCTACCTTGGATGATTCTCCCTACCGTGAACACGTGGTCTACGCACCCCCTCTTCTTGCGGAAACCTGCCTGGCCCTCACTAATGCTATGTTCCTTCTCCAATACTCCCACTATCCTATCGTTCAGCAGCTTACAGAACACTTTTCCTACTGTGTTCAACAGTGTGATCCCCCTGTAGTTTCCTGGGTCAGTCTTGTCTCCTTTCTTAAACAAGTTCACAACCACTCCTTCCCTCCATCTACTTGGCGTATACTCGTTTTTCCACACCCAATTGTATAGCAGTACCATCAGCTGGATCATCCCCTTCCCCCCAAACTTCATGAACTCGTTGACTATCCCATCCGCTCCTGCTGCTTTGTGGCACTTCAGCTTGTTCACACACGCCTCAACCTCGTCCTCAGTGAACTCCTTTTCTAGTTCTACGTTCCCAACGTCTGCCTTCGATGTCTCTTCTTCTTTTTGGGCCCATGCGTCCACCTCCTTCTTAAACGCTTGGTCAAAAGCTTCATTCTCCGAGGGCACTCCAAGTCTCTTGTAGTGTCCTGCTAGAACTTCCCTTTTTCCCTTCCCACTGCTGACTAATCCACCGTTCACACCTCGCAAAGTTGCTACCCCTGTATCCCCCCCTTGCGCGGTGTTTTTTACGATTCCACTAATCCCTTCCCACATCCGCTTGACGTTCCCCTCCAGTCCTCCGCTGGCCTTCTGCACTACTTCGTCCCAAATACACTTGTTCTTCTTANCGACGAAAACCCAACCCCGATGGCAAACACCAGGGGGGGCGTTTGGGGGGGGGGAATTGGTTAAAAGAAATGCAATCCGGCACGTATCGCGCCACTCGGTCCGTCTCTTCTCGTTTGCTTTCTTCCCTCGCCGTCTTGTCCGTCTCCTGCCCCCCTCTCGCCCCATTGGTTGGTGGCTTGTGGTTTCGTTTGAGCGCCCGTTGTCGGCTGGCCTCTTCTTCCTTCTCGTGCCAGGAGGCCATGAACTTTTCAGCTCCCTGCAGCACCGCCGCATGCCAGGGTACTCCCCCCTCCACCTTCGTGGCTTCCGTCCACTTGAACTTCGGTGCGGTGTCTTTCGGTGCCGGGATTCCGAGACAACATATATCGGTTTTCGTAGATCCGTGGGCGGCCCCGAATGCCTTCAGGTCGTCGAGCACACATTTCGGCCAGTTTTGTTCCTGTCCCCCCCTACGTCGCTTCTCCCCCCCTGCCAGGTCGCCGGGCATCAGTCGTTTCGGGAGTCGCCCGTCCGGCTGGCTGCCTTGCCAATGCTCCCCCGAACAGTAGGCGTCGTTGTCGGATCGTGGCTTCAACGCTCTGGCATTCGACCCTCTTCAGCGTCTGGGCGTAACAAAGCTGCCGGTAGGTGTCTTTCTTGCGCTTGTACCCGATAACTCGCAGGAGCAGTCGGTGGTGTATCGACCGCGGCGTTNGGCCAGTTTTGTTCCTGTCCCCCCCTACGTCGCTTCTCCCCCCCTGCCAGGTCGCCGGGCATCAGTCGTTTCGGGAGTCGCCCGTCCGGCCGGCTGCCTTGCCAATGCTCCCCCGAACAGTAGGCGTCGTTGTCGGATCGTGGCTTCAACGCTCTGGCATTCGACCCTCTTCAGCGTCTGGGCGTAACAAAGCTGCCGGTAGGTGTCTTTCTTGCGCTTGTACCCGATAACTCGCAGGAGCAGTCGGTGGTGTATCGACCGCGGCGTTTGATAGTGGCCGCTGAGTGGTGACCATGCCATGCAGCCGTACAGCAGTGCCTCCATCGCCTCCGCCTGGAGCAGGCGGATCTTGAGTCGGAATGGCGCTTGCGGTCTGTCGAAGAGCTCCCGGCCATATCGCCTGAGGCACGCCCAC